TTTTTTTCCTTCATTTGCCTCTCTCACTAGTGAAAGCTTTAACACGAGGACAAACTGCATTAATGTGTTAAATCCCGACACAGATGTGCTGCAAAGTGTATTTTCTAAATTGCTCATTTGCTAACTGCAAAGTTTCAGAACACAGTTTGAAATCAAAAAGTGTTGGATCCTGAATAAATGTTGGATTTAAGGCCTGATTTTAATAACTTCCTGAATGTTTGAAGCTATTTGTTGGTTCATTTACAGATTCTGCGTATTTATGTCTGTTTTTTTTGGGGGGGACTATTTCTTGTATTTTATAAAAGAATTCTGTTTATTCAGGTTCAATTTTTTAACTGTTTCGACAGATCATTCTTGTTTTCTTTAAATTATATCTACAGTAAAAATTAGGCTGTGTTTTGTGTATTTAAACAAACACATAATCATGATTTGACAGATAATTGCTGTTCTTTGACAGAGAAGGTGTGTGTGATAAGGGTTTAAAAATGGTGGGAAAAAAGTCTAATATATTTATTAAATTACAGAAAATATAGATTTAAAAGCAGAACAACCTGTACATCACATTCATGTACATTACAAGAAAAAACTATATTTTAATATTTAGTTTAGAGAGAATTATTTATGTAATAAAAAATGACCAAAACTATAAATAATGTCCATCAGAAATCGAACAATGAGTTGTTTTACTGTAAAATGACAGTTTTCCTCCGTTTAAATCCAACATGAATGTAAAACACAGGCTTTCTGGTGTTCTAATGATAAATAATTCCACGTTTTCGGCGCCTCGCTGCTGTTTTTCTGACGTCGCTGCTCTCAGGAGGCTCGTTGATCAAAGTGCTGCTTTCATAGAATCAAACTGATTGAATGAACACAAATCTGTCTGCATGAAATCCAGCTGATTGTTCTGATCAAACGTCTCCTCTAGAACCTAATAAAACTGATGCTGGCCTGCAGTGATCCGCTCCAGGCTCAGTTCTGCTGTGATCCGGTTGTCTGACCCTCTCCCTCCGTCTCCCCCAGCAGGGCTATGTCCTCGGCAGCCACCACGTCTCCATCTGTGGACAAAGTGGACGGATTTTCACGGAAGTCTGTCAGGAAGGCCAAGCAGAAGCGGTCGCAGAGCTCGTCCCAGTTCCGCTCTCAGGGCAAACCCATCGAGCTCACGCCCCTACCGCTGCTCAAGGGTAAGGAACCGAACCGGGTTTCAGCTCAGATGAACGGATCGATCAGCTGATCTGAGCGCTGGTGGAAAGTTACGCTAAGCAGCTGTTTGATTGCTTTGTTTGCTGACGAGGGATCAGAGTGCAGCTGAACCGACCTGACCCGACACCTGTTGGTTCTGCTGCCCAGATAAGAGTGGCAACGTGAATTATAAATGGACCTGTGAGAAAGATGAAAGTGTTCAACTGAAGGGGGGCGGGGGGGGATCCTGTGTACATATAAAGCTGAAGCTGTGCTGTGTGGGACTTTATTGAGCTAGAATCAGTTTGATCCTCCACATGGTGTCATTTCATCCCTCAGACGATGTGGTGGTGTCAGCATGAGTTCAGACGTCCACTGTGTTCACCGTCTGCTTCTTTAGATGCTTTATTTATGTAAAGGGTGACGTTTTCAGGGTGCAGTGGGTTAAATAAAATCACGGTTTGCGTTGTGTCGTGACTTTTGGAGGATTGCTTTTTGAATCTGCAAAGAAAAACGCCGCTGTGTTTGTCCTCGCTGCATCTCTTCGTCCAGATTGAGGGAGTTATTTCTGAAAACGACCACGTGTTGGTCCGATTTGGATCATTTTCCGTCTGGTGTCGACCTCCTCTGCTCTCCTGTGGTCATTGTAAGAACTGAAAGCTGCTTCTTACCAGTCAGATGGTTTGTTTACATGTTGGAAGCAGCGTTTGTTCGTTGATGTGCGTCGTTTCCGTCGCATTTTTTGATGCTTTTGGGGGATGTAGAAGTCGGTGATTGGCATGTAGACGGTTCCGAGCTGAGTAGCACAACACGGTGAAGATGCTAAATACATGCTGATGTCGGATTTTCCATCGACTTTCAGAGTCTTTTGCTGCCGTTTCCCTCCCGTAATCTGCTTGTTTTAGTGTTTTTGCGAGTACGTTTAGAGCAAAGAAAACTCCGGAGTCACATTTCTCTCTTGTGCTTCAACATATTCGGCTAATAAGTCAGATCCTGAGCTGCACCGACGCTCGTCTCAGCTGCATCATTTGTTCAGCTGCAGAAAGTGTTCTACCGGTTTGGCTAACGTTAGCATCATTAGCGCCGTGTTCGCAGATTAGCCGCCACATACCGGTGTCAGATGTGGTTCCACCGGTGGTTTTAGTCCCGTTTACTCAGACGCCGCCCACAAACCTGCTCTGCTTTCACCGTGTTGATGTGACTGTCGGCGCTGGTTCTGCTGGACGTCGCTCAGCTGCTTTACTACTTCCTGTTTACACCTGAACCAGCGCCGTTCAATACAAAACAACTCCTTCTGCTTTCTGTTGGCAAACGGAGCCGCTCAGAGTCTGGTCGGACGAGCTGTCGGTTGGTTACCTGTCCGGGCAGGCAGCTCACCTGGATGATCACACCGAGCTGGTCCGGTTCCTCCGCCACCGTCGTCACTCAGCGCTGACATCATGAGCAGCTCTTCATGTCCTGCTGCCAGGATTTACCGTAAACCCGAAATATCTGTGACACTCTGCTGAACACGCCTCAAAACGCCCCGAAATAATGTAACCGATGATCACGATGTGCCAAAACGGAGTTGAAATTAAACTAGTCTGAGTTAAAGAAAAGCCAAAAAATAAAAGAAACTGATCTGCAAAACTGACAAAGTTCTGTTTTTACCATAAACGCTGTCATCGTTGTGTTCAAAGATTAGCTTTAAGTAGATTTATAGAACAGTTTCCATCCCTTAGCGGAGGGATTTACAGGATTTAACAAGAGAAATTTAAATCTTACACAAAAATCTGGAAAAAATCTATCAAATTTAGATTTTTTTCTGCCCAGATCTAGTTTCCAGCAGCTTCTTTGAACGCTGAACTGATGTTTTTGCTGATTTCTTATTCTAATAATAATAAAAAGTCACTTTGAGTTGCTCGGCTCAAACAGGAAGTGCATCTCAGAGAGCTTCAATAAAGTAGTAAAATCATCCAGCGTGATCAGGACCTGCAGCCTGACTGTTGTTGTTCATACGAGCGAGTCGCTGCTGCAGCCACGAGTGTGTCGGAGCGGATCAGGAATGTGAGCGATGCAGCAGCACAATGAGACACCTTTCACCTGCCGGCACGGGTTTGGTCCAAGGTGACGGCAGGAATGTGGCCAGACAGAAACCAGACGGACCTCCACCTGGTCCCGGTTCCTCCTCAAGACGGGGTCAGGTTCAACCCAGGAGAGAGTTTAAGAGAAGACGAGTTAGTCCGACGTAATGTTTTACAGAATTAAGTCGTCATAATTTAACGAGGAGGTCGAGTCTTTGACCCGCATTCAGGTCATTTAGTGTTCATTTTCGACACTGTAAAAAAAGATAACAATAAAGATAAAACTATGAAAATATCAGTTAAATTGTGATGTTTTATCTGGTTACAATGCAGTAAAATAGTGTAATTTTATTGTCAAACATGAAAAATATTTAGTTCTGACCTGTTTTTATAAATTAATGCTTTTTCTCTGATTTTACTGGTTATTAACTGGACTTGAACTAAAGTGGAAATTTTGTAAAACGACTGTAAATTTTTTTAAAAAAAGAAGCTTTTTAAATCCCTAAATATGATAATAATGTTTAATGTAATAATATGAATATGATTCATAATTTATTAAGTATGTTATTAATATTTTTCTTTCAAATAACAGCAAATATCTGCAAGATAACAATATTTTTTAGCTGATAAAAATAAATAAAATAAATAAATAAAATAAAAAATATTCTTATCATGTTCTTATAAAATATTTTTATTATTATTATTATAATTATTAGTATTATATTTTATTATTTTAAATAAAAATAGTGTAATTTTAATGTCAAATGTTGTAAAAGAATGATTTACGATTTTTAAAAATAGGGATTTTAATGAGATTTGTCCCATGCTTTTTAAAAGAAATCTGTAATTTAACAAAATGGGGAGAAAATAGCTAAATCTCGTTAATAAATTAAAGTTAACATCAGTAATTTTGTACAGTGTAGACAGATCAGATCCAATATTTGCTCTGTTTTGTTTTAAATGTTGATTAAATTTGACAATAAAATAGAAGCTGTAGTTTCCGAATACCAATAAAGAATACAGTAAATAATTCAGTAATCTATATTTTAGCTCGTACGCTTCTATTTAAACGTGCTGAACTCCTGCAGGACGTCTTGTAGATTTAGAAGGTTTACATTCATGTGAATCCTCCACCCTGAACTACATCAAGCTGCGCTCTGAGCTCTCGCTTTGTTTCAGCTCGTCTCTGGGTTTATTCACGGCGCTCGTTCTGTCTGTTTTTCTGCAGCTTCGGTTTCACACGCTGGTTTCACGTTCACACGCTGGTTTCTCACCTCGTCAGTACAATCGGTCGAGTCCTGAATTAGAAACCAGATCTGATTCTGACTCGCTGTGTGTTGTAGAGGTAGCAGAGTGACGATTAGCTTTAATCCATCAGCTGTGTGGACTTTGGTTGGACTGTGGCTCCGTCTTGGTTGCATTAGCAAGTTAGCAGGCAGGTGTTAGCTTAGCAGTTAAGCATCTTGGTCGCATTTGCAAGTTGGCTAGCAGGCTTTAGCTTGGCATTTAAGCATCTTGGTCCCATTAGCAAGTTAGCAAGCAGCTGTTAGCTTAGCATTTGAGCATCTTGGTCGCATTAGCAAGTTAGCAAGTAGGTGGTAGCTTAGCATTTGAGCATCTTGGTCATGCTGGCAAGCAGGTGCTAGCTTAGCATTTAAGCATCTTGGTTGCATTTGTAAGTTAGCAAGCAAGTGTTAGCTTAGCATTTGAGCATCTTGGTTGCATTAGCAAGTTAGCAGGCAGGTGTTAGCTTAGCAGTTAAGCATCGTGGTCGCATGAGCAAGTTAGCAAGCAGGTGTTAGCTTGGCATTTAAGCATCTTGGTCCCATTAGCAAGTTAGCAAGCAGGTGTTAGCTTAGCAGTTGAGCATCTTGGTCGCATTAGCAAGTTAGCAAGCAGGTGGTAGCTTAGCATTTGAGCATCTTGGTCGCATTAGCAAGTTGGCAAGCAAATATATACCTTTTTTTTTGTGTAATTTAAAACAGTTGAAAAAAGTGTAATTTTACAATAAAATTTCGTAAAATTGTGTTTCCTAAAAATTTAGATGTTCGATGTTGACATTTTCTGTGATTTTGAATTATCTGAAACGTTTTCCCAACTCGGTGCAGTGAATCTTAGTGTGAATATATTGTTATTGTTATTGTTATTATGATTATTAGTAATATTAATATCTGTACGTCTGTAGATGTGACAGAAGCTGTATGAGCACATGAGAACACTGAACGTTGTGTTCTTGTCCGTCCTGCTGCTGGAGTTCATAAAGACGCTGCTGAGGCTCATTTATCTCCAATCTGATGGCAGGACGCTGACCCGGTTCTGCCTCTGCTCCCTTATAAGTCCACCTACAGCGAGCTGGTCTGCTGAGCTTCATGCTGCAGACAAACAGCGTTAAATCACCGCCCAGCAGAAGTGAATTAACAAACCGAGCCAGCCTCACATGAGCGTCCGTGGCCTCGTGGTTCCTGCCTTTTGTCGTGTCCTTTGCCCACTTGTGCCTCTGATGTGTTACGTAACGGCCGGGACCATGAGGCGTTCTATCAGCCGGCTGAGGCTCCGGCCTGCTGGGAACGGTTCTCACCAGCGTTCAGAGGAACCAGGAGGCTGATGTCTGCATGTTTCTGCTGTTTGTTCCTGCTGCTGCTTTAACTGTGATGTTCTGCAGGAGTGTTGTTGTTCTCCAGACGCTGCCTCGGCACCGTTGGTTCAGAGCGCTGTGCACATCCTGCTGCTTGTTTCTGAGCATCTTTATGAGCTGTTTGAGATGTTTCTGTTACTGCCAGGTGTTGTCATTTATAAACGGGGTTCGGGTTCTTCTCTGTGCGTGTTCTATGTTCTTCCTGCTTCGTTTCCATCCTTCACCTCGAGCAGCAGCAGCAGAGGTGGGCGGTTATCTGTAGGATTCACAAATCCTGGTTTTTTGTTTTTGCTCCTTGAGGCTT